GGAAATTAAATTGATAGCAAAATTTCAAGTTTCCTCCTCTTTCTGTAATTTTTTCTATTCTTTCTTTTTAAGTTTCCTATCAGGTAGAGTCCGATTTTCTGGATTAATCTGTTGGATCTCTAAATTAATCTTCTTATTTTTTACCTTTTTTTTTACATTAAGGAAAACTTTTTGGTGTTTTTTTTCTCCTGTTCCCCCGTGAACCAAGGTCTCATTAAATCACTAAGTTGTCCAGGTTAGGCTTGAATTTATGATCCTCCTGCCTTAGCCTCCCAGAGTGCTGGGATTATAGGTTTGTGCCACCATATTAGGTCTCTTCTTCTTTTATGCTACACTATCTTTAATTATCTCTGAGGATACTAAATCAAATCTTTAAACATTCTTTTCTGACCCTTGAGTCATCTATTTTATTTCCTCTGAAGTCAACCGGCCTTTTATTTATTTTGATCTTTTGGGGAGATGTATACTTCAGTTTTCTTCAAAGCTCTGGTGATCTTTCTTTTTAATTTAAGTTTATTGGTACATTTTAGGTATACAATACAGTTACAGTCATCATTGGGATCTTGCAACTTTACGTGCTGTATCTTGGTTCTTATTTTTTCTCCATTCCCTTGCCCTCCCTTCCCTATTTACAAAGACTTTGTTTCCATTTTTTTCCTTTTCTCATATTTTTTCTTTTCCCTTCTTTCCTCTTCCCTACCCCTCCCACTTCCTCTACTTCTTTAGACCTTTTCTTCCTATTTCACAGTATCAATTATACATTTTGATCCTTATTTACACTTTTAGTTTTTCACACCAGAGAAACTATTCAGTATTTACACGTGTGTCCTATTTATTTCACTTAAGAGTATGGCCTCAAAATGCAACCATTTAACTATAAATGTCTCTACTTTCTCATTCTTTATGGCTGAATAGTACTCCATTTTATAAAAAAAACCCTACATCTTCTTTATCCACTCTCCAGCTGATGGGCAATTGGGCTGTTTCTAAGGTTTAGCTATTACAAACTGTGCCGCTATAAACATGGGTGCGCATATATTGCTGTGATATGATTCTTTTAATTCTTTTGGGAAGATACCCAGCAGAAGAATAGCTGGGTCAAATAGGACCTCTAATACTAGGTTTTTGAGGTATTTCCATATTGATTTCCACAGTGGTTGCACCAGTCTGCACTCCCACCAACAATGGAGAAGGGTTCCTTTCTCCCCACAACCCCGCCAGCATTTGTTATTGGTTGATTTCTTGATAGTAGCCATTCTTTCTGGAGGTGGAATCTCAGCATTGTTTGAATCTGCATCTCTTGAATGACCAGTGATTTGAACATTTTTTCAAATGTTTATTTTCTGCTTTTACTTCTTTGTCTGAGAAATGTCTGTTCATGTCAGATGCCCATTTTTGAATTGGGTCTTTATATTTGCGGGGTCTGATTTTTTAAATTCTTTATATATTCTAGATAGTAGGCCTTTGTCTGAGGAACAGCTGGTAAAAAAATTTTCTCACATTGTAGGCTGTCTCTTAGCTCTGCTGGTGGTTTCTCTTGCAGTGCACAAACTGTTTAATAAGATGAGATCCCAGTTGTTGATTCTTTGTGCTAGTTCCCGTGCTACTGAGGATTTGTTCATAGTCTTTTCCTATGCCAGTGTCTTCAAGAGTTCTACCTAACTTATCTTCCAGCAAGTTCAGTGTTTCTGTTTAAAGCTCTGGTGATCTTAATAGTCCATTTATACTTACGAATGAATGAATATAAAAATAAATGGTCAGTGTTATGTTCCTATCCCCTTATTTGGAGGTTTTTCTCCAACAGAGCCTTTTCCCCTGAGAGGGACAGAACAGTGAGGAGCTCCAGGCAAAGATGGTATCTGTCAAGTGATAGCTTAACTTTAGGGTTTGTGGGCAAGAAGCATGTAAAGACAGTGTGAGCACCTTGCCCCTGTGTTTACCTATCCCCTGACAAAAAGGCAGTGCTTGATTCTGGGGACTCATACCACATGGGGAGGCTGCAACCTTTTCTTCTCTTAGCCCTGCCATGTGTGTAGAGTGCGAGGGAGGTTCAGTTAGGCTGGGTGTTATCTGTCTGGGTTGAAGATGACCATGGGAATAGCAAAACCCCAGGGCTCCCCTGGGAAGAAGGGGTGTGACCCAGGCTTCTGTGTGTGTCCTAAGCTGTGGCTTCCTGTGGTTTCCCCCAGTATCATGGCAATGGCACCTGGTTTCCCTCTTCCAAAAGCTGCTCTGCTTATTCATCCTCAATGTTGTTAATGAATTTCTTTTCCACCAAGCATGGAAATTTATTTTCTACTAATGGTGTTTAAGGATAGAAGAGAATGAAGCATGTGCACTCATCATTTATCTTGAACTAGAGGTCAGTTATATGTACTTTGGGTGCATAAGCACTATACATTTCTATATGTCAAGTACCTTATTTTTCAAGTTCTTAATCTTACCAATTTAATATATGTTTTTATCAATTCAGTTTTCAAAACAAATTAGGATGCTGTTGGGAGGATGCGCCTACTAGTAGGAATGAGAAGTTAAGCAAATGTATAAATTATTAAAAGCCAAAACCAAAGCGTTCTATCATAAAACTCATGTCACCCAAATAGCCCAAGGGTAGCACTGTGTTACAAGATAAGTACGGGTTGAAGGATTACTCTGAAGAGTGAATGATGGTCTATTAAGAAACAGAAAAACTTACAGCTTTAGAATTCTATAATTAATTATTAGAGTAGTGGCATTTGAAGGAGGATGTATTCCAGTTGGCTCGATGGTCAGACTCACGGCCTGCCAGCAATGAGGGATTGTGGAATCAGTTTCTGTCAACCTTTATTGAGTCCTACAGTGTGCTAGACTTTGTTCTAAATGTTTTTTCACATGGTTCCTTCAATTCTTATCATAATGTATGTATATAGTTAAATCTTACCTTGTGGAATGTAGCTAGATTAAATTAAGTCATGATTATTTTATGTAGTCAATGAAAGAGCTATTTTGCCCCCAAATCCAGCTCCCTTAAGAGGTCTGCTCTGGTGTGTGTGGGCAGCAGAGAACAGTCACGGAAGCTGCTACACTCTTTTACCAATGAAGAAGTAGGGTGTCAAGGAGGCTAAGCAATTTGACTCTGGTCACCCAGCTAGAATGTAGTAGAATCAGCTCTAGAACCCAGATCACTAGGCCTGTCTGAACTTCTCATGTAGGTGGACCCTCGTCCACTAATACTTGAATTTTCAGAATTTTTTATTGTGATTTATGATTGCTAATTCCCAGGTGCCCCTTGGCTTTGGTGTGGCTGCCAGCATCCGAGTGGGCAATGCTCTGGGGGCAGGGGACGCTGAGCAGGCCCGGTGCTCCTGTACCACTGTTCTCCTGTGTGCTAGTGAGTATAGACTTTCTACTCCCCAGTGTCTGTACTTAATTTAGTGTGATAAGTTAAAATCAACATGTCAGAATGTCTCCAGAAAGAGAACTACATATATATAAAAATCTTTATTCTTTTTTTTTTTTTTTTTTTTTTGGTATCGGGGATCGAACTCGGGTCCTTGCACTTGGGCAGCAGGTGGCGAAACCACTGAGCTAAATCCCCGGCCCCTAAAATCTTTATTCTTCATGTTCTAATTCACTGAGTTAAATCTCCTAATTATAATTTTCTATTATTATATAACAAATTAATAATACTATGTTTGGTATTTCTGAAATATTTCAAAAGAAATTATTATGTGCAATCTTATTTTATGACCACAGTCTGAGTGATGGATTCTCTGTGTTCCTGGACTACTGCCTCTTCTGGCAGTTCTAATGTCTGGAATCTGAGCTTTTAGAAAAGGTTCTGAGGTATTAATGTCTTAATCTGTATGTGCCACTATAATAGGATACCTGGGATGGGCAATTTATAGAGAGCAAAAACTTATTTCTCACATCCCCAGAGAGCAGGAATTCCAGCATGAAGGAACCAGCAGAATTGGCTTTGTGGTGAGAGCTGCTCTCTGCTTATAAGATGGTGGCTCAATGCTGTGAAGGTACAGTTGGTCCTCACATGGAGGAAAGGAAGGGATGAAAAGGGGACCAAACTCGCTCTATTAAGGCTCTAATCTATTAATCTAATCTGTTAAGGGCACCTAATCTATTCATGACAGAAGAGTCCCTGCGATTCAGTCACTGTCCATAAGCCACACTGCCCCATGCTGTTGAATTCAAGATTAAATTTCAACATGACTTTTGGAGAAGATAAAACCATTCAAACTATAACAACTGTTGAAGATGTTTCTTATTAATCTCCCTTAAAAAGTTTCAGAATCATCAGATGTCCTTTTAATAGCTAGTAAAAAGAAACATTATTTACATTATAGCTTTTTGTTTTTTCTTTTGAGATAGGTTCTCACTATGTTGCCCAGGCTGGTCTCAAACTTGTAGGCTCAAGTAATTGTCCTGCTTCTGCTTCCCAGTAGCTGGGACTACAAGCACCATAGCCACCTTATTGCATTTCTTAAATAACTGATGCAAATCTTTCATGAGAAATCAGCCCTAGGATTTACCACTCTAGAGGATTGTGACATCCTGGTGTTTCTTCCTTGTTTTCCAGGTATGTGCGCACTTGCAGTGGGAGTTCTACTCACAGCTTTGAAGGATGTGGTTGCCTACATATTCACCAGTGACAAGTATGCACTCATTGACAAAAATGTCTTTGGTTGGTTTCATGCTTTCATCACCATATTTTTCTGATTATGAGAGGCAGGTAGCATTCCGGCTCGCAGGAAAACTTGCAGTGTAGCCAGGAGTGAGGAGCACAGTGTTAATTTAAATGGGTTGGAATGAAAATCATCCCCACTCCTCTAGTCCTCAGTACACTTATTGGCCAGACTAAAGTTTTTCTCAGATACACAGAAAAAGCACATGGCATATCCTCACCCCAGGGGGTGCCACAAAGTCCAGGGTGTGGTGACAGCATCCACACCTACTTCTTTCTGGGCAGTATTTGCAAAGCTTACTGATCTAATCTTTTTTTTAATTGATCTAATCGTAAACTAAATTTATTGTGTTTTCTTTAATAATGTTTACATAATTTTGAAGTGTAATAAAATGTCTTTTCAATAAAAAATCTGCATAGGCCAGGGGTGTGGCTCAGTGGTAGAGTGCTTCTTTATGAAAAAGCTTCAAGGGCCAGGGATTTAGCTCAGTGATTATGCTGCCTGATGCACAAGTGCAAGGACCGGAGTTCGATCCCCGGTACCAAAAAAAAAAAAAAAGAAAAAGAAAAAGCTTCAATAATTTGTACCTTGGGTTCCTCTTGGGAAGAAACTCAATTTTATTCTTTTTAGGTTGTGCTCTCCAGTCTCATCTCATCCCACTGGCTTTCAATTGATGCCTAAACATATACTCAAAATCTTAGGACTAAGAAGGTAGTCAGAGAGACTAATAGAGCCTAGATTTTCCTTTCTACCTTAACAAAAATATATATTTAAAAAATGATATTTAGACATTGGACAATAAGCAGCACAGAGAGAGAAATGAGATGAAGAGACTTCATGATTGTCTAGCTTACTGGGAGAGAGTTTCTAGTCCAGGAAGGTGAAGCCCTGGTAAAGTCCCTCTGTACCTCTGGGTTGAGGAAATGGAACCGCGAGTTCAGGGAAGCCATATGGCTAGAATTCACAAAGCAATTGTCAGGGAGGAGAGGGCTTCACAGAGAGGATGCTTTTGAGCTCTTCAGAGGGTCTCTCTTGCATGTTTAGCTGACCACTGAGCCATGAATGCATGTGTGCGAGGATCCTACTTGAGCCCAGGGAAGAATGCCTGAAAGGAGTAGGTAGAACAGTCCCTGAAATTTAATGGCTGGGAAAGGTTTGTGTTCCCACCAGCCAAAATGAAATGATCTGGCAATACATGGGGCAGCTGGCAGAATTTGGGAGTGGAGGAAAATTAGCCCTGGAAATCAAAGGTGCTCTGGTTCTGCCTACTCAAAAGTATCAAACAGTTTTCAGGAAACAGAACTGCATCATAGAACTCAACTGTATCAAAGCTCAGGAGCATTTAAAATAATATAAGAAAATGGAATGCCCAGCAAAGCAAAATTCACAACGTCAAAAAAATTCGCAATGTCTAGTGTACAATTAAAAATTACCAGGGATACAAAGAAGCAAAAACCTAAACCTAATAATGAAGAGAAACACCAATCAACTAAAATTGACCTAGAATTGAAACAGAAGAAAGAATTACTACACGGCATGTTAGAAGTTTTTATAACTATGACCATAGTCTCAAGAAGGTAGATGAAGAAAGCATGGGCATGTTAAAGTGAGACATCAAAGATAGCAAAACAAAACCAAATTGAATTTCTGGAGTTGAAGAAAAAGTCTGTAGTGAAAATATATTGGGTGACATTAACAACAGATTAGACATTGTAAAAGAAAAGATTAGTAAACTAAAAGATATAGCAGTTGGACCTCACATGAAATGCAGAGATTAAAAAAATGACTAAAAAAAATGAATAGTTTATCAGTGAGCTGTGAATGAGCTAAAAAACATGTAATTAGTGTTCCCAAAGCAGAGGAGAATGAAGAGAGACAGAAGAAAATTTGAAGAAATAACAACAAAAAATGAAATAAATTTGGTAAAAATCTTAGGATTAAAGGAATCTAAAAGGCTACTTGATGTAGTCACTCATCTGACACTGGGATTCCTCCAAAATATCCTGGCCATTCTTTGGGAATGTGATTTTGAAGGCACCCATCCTTCCTCCGTAAGTCCTAGAACACATGCTGTTACTGTTCAAGGTTACCACTGAGCTGGGAGCAAGGGAATGATACTAAGATCTAAGTTACAGCACCAAGTTTGCTGTTCTCACCGAGATTTAGGCACCTTGTCTTGAATTAGTGCCTACAAGCCTTGGGTTAATTTCTGGAGTTTGGAAAAATTGAGTCTGGTAATATTTTCCAGTTTTTGACAAGTTCTCTTTTTCCTGTGAAGGGCAACAGTTTCCTGTCTCTGAATGTGCTTGGCAATTTCTTTTCCAGATCTGGACATTTCAAATATTGTGATATGGTAACTGTGGGAATCAGATTCTCCTCCTTTCCCTGTCATTGCTGTTCTGGCTTATTGAGGGCTACAGGTCTCCATTTGTTTAGTAACAATGGAGGATTGTTATCCTCCCTTACACAGAGGAAGATTCTCATGTAGTTTATACAAAGACTTATGACCTGATAAGGATGTCCTTAATTAAGTAAGTTTGTTTGTTTTGAATTCTTTGTCTTTTTAAAATCTTTGATAGGCCATGCCTGGGAAGCCTCTGTGCCAGCTCCTCAGTTAATCCCTGGTAGATCAAAACACATAACTCTGACTCAGAGGACAAGGTATTTATTTGTCCAGCCTGGTGCCAGTATGTCACATAGGAATATGGGTGGCCATCCCTGTAGCTGTCTGCTATGGGACTGAGAGATGGGAAAATGTACCCGCTCTAAAACTCACCAACACTTGCTGATCTCTTTCTTCATCAATATCCTCCTTATCATTCCAAGTTGACTCCAAAATTCATAAATAGCTGATGCTGACATTTCTTGCTAGGCTAATGACTGCTATGGCAAAGAGACTGATTCTTGAGCTTCCTACTCTGCCATCGTTCATGATGTCATCAGGATTGAGACTTATCATGCTGATTGGGCTCTCATTCTTTTGTAGGAGAAAATTTTGTTTCAGAAGTCTTTTAGTTAATATTTTTGCCCTTGACTGTGGTTAAATGTGGGTAAATCTTTTTTCTTTTGTTCCCCTTACCACTTTGCAGACTTTAAATCTGAAGCATTGGATTTCCCTTTAGCTCTAGGAAATTTATCATTTTTCTCTTCTAAATTTACTCCCTTTTGTGCATTTTTACTTTCTCTCCTTTTGAAATGCTTTTCAAATGATAGCATTTATGGGATCAATCTCGCATCCTGTTTCTTTCATCTTTTGTCTCTCTGTTTGGAACTCTCTTTTATTTTCCAAGTTGAAATTTAGTTGTTAGCCATTTATTATCTGGTCTTTAAGTAAAATGTTTTATTTTATTGTTCACATTTTTCATCTCCAATCACTTTTTTTCAATTGTACCTTATCCTTAATTGCCTGTTGTTAGCTTATGAATGTCTCTCAGAGTAGCAATTATAATTTAAACAATTTTCTCTTATGTTCTTTCCATTCTTTGAGGTTCCTTTTGTATCAGCATGCTTATTTTATTTTGGCTTCCCTTTCTGTCTGTGTTGTTGTTGTTTTTGTTTTGTCGATTTTCCTAAGCATCTTGTGAGCATTGGTTCCATGTCTGTATTTCTGAGAGACCACACTGTTTTGTTGATCAGTAGACAGTGCATACATGAGGTAATTGTGGTTGTGTGGATCTCATTTAAAGAGGTCTTTCCTCTGAGAGTAAGGGCCACTGCAGGCTATGCCTAAATGAATGGCTCTGTTAAACATGGGCTCCCCTTGAGTGTGCATGGGAGGGGAGGAGGAAGTCTTTTCCTTTGGGGAGGGCACTGTGGCTTGTTTCATGGATTATATAGGCACTGGACCCATAGAGCATGTGTTTAGTCATCTCTGTCCCTGCTGTGTCTTTTCCAGAGCTCCAACACCTCCTCTACATACCTTCCAAGCCAAACTTCCATAAATGAAAACAGTTCAGAGAATCCACAAGGAGGCAAATCTTTCTTATATAAAACTGGCTTTCAACTCCATTTTTGAGGAAGACTCCCGTATACAGAGGGGGATTCCCTGTACATGGGCTGAAACCTGCTGGATTTTTTTTGTTCCATTCCCTATGTTTGTACACCCATAAATGGAGCTTTAAGAACTGTCCTCTAAAGTGGCAGGCTAACTGTGTCCCCTTCAATCTAAGTCCTATATATGGTAGTAATAAAATTTGAATTAGTGTTTTATTATGTACTTAATTTTTCAAAAAGAAATGTACTATTTGGACTCAGTTATCTGAGTTTGTGATTTTTAGGTCACTGACTGCTTTCTTTCTCTTGAACAGGGATATTAGTTCTCTTGTGAGCCAAGTGATGCCAATTTTTGCTCCTTTTCATCTATTTGATGCACTAGCAGTGAGTATTTGGAGTGATTTTGCTCTATCATACATAGTAATATATGTCTTATGTTTCTATCTTTTTAAATTAAAAATTGAATGTCTGTGATTTCATTTGTGAAGAGTGATCTCTTGCTTCAAGCATCCTGAGCATTTCAAAGGAAGATGAGTTACTTAGGAGTATATCCTCTTAAGGTGGAGGAGATCTGAGTTCTCTACCTCCTCTGACTTTACCTGGTACCTGACTGCCATGAGTGGTGTCCTGGCCAAGTGGTGAGGAGACCGCTCCTTGAATCCTCCCTGGTAGTCAGTGCTACTACCTTTGAGTCAACTCTACCTGTTAGAAGGCCACTGTCTAGACTGGGTCTTTTGTGGATTTTTGGATATTAGAAGACCATTGGGCTATATTCTAGAATCATCTTTGGAGTATTCTTTATTACATGATTCCTAGGCCCAAATATTTGTCATGCTTTTTTTTTCCCATGGAATTTCTTCGACTTTCTCCACAACAATCTGAAGATGTGGCTCCCATGATTGGACACAGAGGGTGGTAAGAACAGTGTGGAAAAGAAGCCCACAATTGGATTAATATTTTTTAGCCATGATTTCAGACTAATTTCTTCTGAGATACCTTCAGTGTAACCTCTATTTTAAAAAATATATGTGGTGTTAGAAAATACTTTTAGTTAAGATAAATAATCAGAGATTTAAAAAGTGTTACTTGATAATTTTCTGATGAAAGCTGTTGTCGTTAACATAACTTTAGAAGCAAAATGTTTTCCTTTATCTCTCATTCAATGTGCTGTCTGCTTTAGACAGAGCTATTTGATGATGCCCAAACTTGTGAGATACTAATGTACTATTCTGAGCCTGATATGATGAGATCTGCATGGCTACAGTGTTGCTGTTGGGTTTCCTCTCCTTAGGGTACCTGTGGTGGAGTACTGAGAGGTACTGGAAAGCAAAAGATTGGTGCTATCCTGAATGCCATTGGTTACTATGTGTTTGGCTTTCCCATTGGAGTGTCTCTGATGTTTGCTGCTAAGCTTGGGATAATAGGTACGTGTTTAATTCCTCAGTGACTCACTGCAAATCTCATTTGTCATATTAAGATAAACTCCTTGGGATATAAAGTAATTGACTGGAAAGTTATTCTGCGTTTAATAGGAAAAAATATTTTCTCTCCCAGTATTTATCCAGTGTCCCCTTATACAATGCTCTGAGAGTGCAGTATTGAATGAAATCAATAGGCTTCTCAAGATGAGACTAAGATTCAATAACTATATAACTAGTCAATTACCAGGGGGCTAAGCATTATAAAAGAGAATAGGTTGCCATAAGGGTCTAACATGAAGTGTGGGAACATCTGAGCCCCACTGGCTTGCCAGAACAGCTCTCTATATCATATTTTAGCTCAGGCCTTAGACACAAGGATAAGCAGCATTTGTTGAAAAGACTTTTCTCTCCCCACCAAGTGGTCTTGGTAACCTTGGTGAAAATCAGTTGACCATAGATGTATGGACTTGTCTCATACCTATCCTGTTGGTCTATATGTCTGTCCTTAGGCCAGTACTACACTGCCTGGATAACTATAGCTTTGTAGTTAAATTTTGAAATCAGAAGTATAAATAATCCAACTTTGTTCTTCTTCAATTTTGTTTTGACTATTTGGGGCTTCTTGTAAGTCCACATGAATTTTTTTTTATTAAATTCTTTCATTGGTACATTGTAGGTATACAACACAATTACATTTCTCATTGGGAATTGTACCTTT